AAGAAAGATCCTTTTAAAAAATGTTACACAATAGGGGAGGGGGGAAAAAAATGCACAAAAATATTGGTGCAAAAAAATAAATAATAAACCATTAGAAAAATTGAAAAAGAGTCAAGACTACAATAAAAATAGAGAAATAAAATTAAATAACATCTTACAAATTACAAAAAATAAAAATTGAAATTGTACCTGCTTCCAGAGAAAGGGATCCATGTTGTTCTGCATCCAGGACAGGGCGACGTGCACGGCGGACAGCAGCAGTCCGGTGAACACGGCGGCTCGCATGCGGACGGGTAGCAACGTGTAGACCACGTAGATAAAGAAGACGGTCCACCAGATGCCCTCCGAGGCGTCTCGGGGCCGCACCAACAGCACGCCCACGACCTGCACCAGCAGCACCAGCAGGATGAGCGCATAGCACACCACCCACATGTGGTCCTGACGGAAACCAGTCCGGTTGCACGCCGCCATCAGCGCCAACGTCAGAAGGATGGCGGCGGAGAAGACCACCACATAGGCCACGCTGGGCTCGTTGCCAGCCAAGCAGTGGAAGAGCAACATGACGCCAAAGACCAGAACCAGAACGGCCATCAGCATGGTTAGGCTGCTCTGGTTGAGCCGGAAGAAGTAGCGCTGATACAGCCGCTCCAGGTTCTCCGATTGGAACTTCTTGGAGCTGAAGACATGCGCCACCCCGGACCAGAACGCCAGCGCAGAGAAGCCGGCCTCCGGCGTTGGGGCGACGCCGTCCTGAGGGAGGCCCAGCTCAACAGACTTGGCCCGGACCTCGTCTCCGCGCTCCTGCCACGCAGAGCGGGAGCGGAAGCTGACCCGGCTCACCGTAGTGGTCACGTGGCCGGGAGGTCTGGCCCGGCGGCGCTCTAGGGGGTCGTCGTCATCCCTCCAGTGGCTGTTGGGTCTCCGGGTAGGGTACGCGCACCCGTTAGCCACAGAGTCAGACTCACCCCAGGCCGACCGGTGCTCCACGCCGCCCCGCAGGGCGGGACCGCCACAGGGTGGGCTGACGCTGTTGCAAAAATATTACATATTAAATACCGAGATTGGAATGAAATACAAGTGTGTTAGGTGAAAAAAACAAGCTCTATAAATATAGAAAAAGAAATAACATTAAGGAAAAGTAAAAAAGTATATATTTGAAAACAAATGACCAAATCCTTACAAAATATACACATCTGTGAATAAATTGGGGAAATGGTTTTCAAAAATGACAAAAAAAAAATGGAGAGAAATATGGAAATTTTTGAAAATATATTTTAAAAATGTAAAAAGTATTCAAAAATATAATAAAGCATTTAGTATTACAGAAAGAAAGTGCACAAATACAAAAACAAAAAAGGATTTGGGATAGAAAACTACAAATATTTTTAAAGGGGGAAATACCAAAATATTTAAAAAAATAAAAACATAAAATTAAATATTAGAAAATTATACATGCAGATGTATTTTTGTTTTATTGTTAAAAATTGGGAAACCACAAAAATTCTATAAAAAAATACAGAACAGAAAAAAATAAGAGACTGCTTCCAAAACATTTGGGAAAATTGCTTTTTAAAAATAAGCAACAAAGAAATAAGAGGGGGAAAAAAGAGACTCGGGAAAAAAATATGTATTAACCTGTTGGATCTGGACATGGTCGGAAAAACTCAACTACAAGCACATCGCTGTAGTTGCGGCCACTTTTTACTTGCAGTAAATCCAAACGTCAAACTTTGGATGTCAAACATTCATTCCAAAAGGATTCTTAAAGTGATAATCCTCCTAAAATTGTATTTAAACTGGGGGGGAAAAAAATCAATCATGCGAGTCACAAGGGAAGTTGGTCCACGACGCTCGAGAACATTAGCTCCAGGTGGATTCGGCTCCACATCATCGGGCCCAATTAAGAGGCGCCCGAGGGGAGCGTCGCTGCTCCCCGGAGACGGGCTGGCATCGGCGACGGTGAGTGGTACATCCCCGACGGTGGCGGTGGCTGTTTCGGTTCAAACCGGCCGACACCTGCGCCGCCGAGGAGGAGCCAGGCGTCGTTGGGCAAGGAAGCATCACCGCCTCCGCCAGCCACCCGATGGGTGCGAGGCGAGGCTCCGGGGATCAGGTCGGCGTCGCCATCCAAGCCGAAACAGGGAGCTCAACGCTCGGGGAAGGTAAGACGCGCCTCCTCCGTACCAGCGCCACTGGTCTGGTCGTGACGTACGCAACACCCCGGGAACGAGCTCCGTTTAGCGGCTAGCAAACATCCGAAGCCTTTCTCCAGAAACTGTGGACTCAACGATTGACGCGTTCCCCCATTGGGGTACTTAGAGGAGGCGGGATGCTGAGCAGGGAGATGCCATTGGACGAGGCGCCAGTCAATCAAAATAGTGGCCGGGCTTGCACAGCTGGATGGCCCACACGTTGGAAGCCTGATGTCATCCATCCCTCCCTTATCTGAACGGCTTTTTCCTCACGAGGGTCGCGGGCGTGTTGGAGCCGATCGCATCTGACTTCGGGCAGTAAGCAGAGTACACCTGGTTGCCACTCAATCCCGGATGGTTGTTTGTTTCTGTGTGCCCTCTGATTGGCTTGCAATGGGTTCAAGGTGTCCCCCACCTACTGCCCAAAGACAGCTGGGATAGGCTACATTTTTGCGCCGTAAAAATTCTAAACTAACTTGCGTGTGATGGAAAAAAGAAAACTGCAAGACCCAGTCGGGATCAACATGAAAAGTAATTTCTTTTGGTAGATAAAAATATATTGCCAGCAATTTAGCTGGAGTAAAACGACAGCAGTTGCACATTTTAAACACAAAAAGCAACAACTGTCATCACTCAAACACAATGTCCAAAATGTATATGCACAAGTATAACATAGAAGCAATGCCAAGAGAGAGTCAAACATGTTTATTGTCATGAAAGCAAGAAACAAACATTAACACAGGAGGATTGGGAGGCTGCACTCTATTTAAAAAAAAAAAAGGCAGCGGATTCCTTCAGTGCATCCTTGAGCGCACCAAACGGTGTTGCTCGGTCAATTTGTTCATAAATAAAATTGAGGAAAATAATAAAGACAACAGTAGTAGTAGTTTGAGGAAATACGAATGAAAGGAGCTTGCGAGGTCCGTTTTTTTTTTTTTTGTTTGTTTGTTTGGATTGAAAGTGTCCAATTCCGTCTCACTCCACCTTGCTGTAGGCGTTGGCGGGGCCCAGAACCTTCTTCCTCTGTCGGATCATGTGGAAGTAGAGCTGAGGGAACACTGCCCGAGGGGAGAAACAACCAAGGAACATCAGAGAACACTTTGTTGCTTCGTGCGTCGTTATGGAGACAAAATGAAGGTCAGTTTCAAACAGACGGATTGGCGGCGCACATCAAAAGCGGAGCCACTTTTACTGAGCAACACAAAATTCACAAGCTATGTCTGTCATGAATAAATCCACAAAAAAGTTGCAAGAAGCCCTGCCCGTAAAGTCACAGGAAATCTGCTGTTTTGGTCTGAAGCGGTCGTCTGTCATGAGTCGACGCACAGAAAGTCAGACCTTGTGGTTTGAAGCAACCTCTGTTAGCAATTTCCAGGGATCCTGTAATTCATTTGTTCATTTATTTCATTTAAAGAAAATTCAGAGCCCAAAGCCAGTTTTACTTGGCAACATGAAATTTGGTAGGCATGTATGTCATGAATAGACCCACAAAAAAAAAAGTTTGCCCTTTTGGCTTGGAGGAAGCGACAATTTCAGGGTCATTTTCAGCTTTTTCTAGGGGTCCTTCAATGGCAAGCTTGTCCTCGGACTTTTGTCTGACTAAATATAAACTCTATCAACTTACACGGAATGTAGGAGATCATGACGAGGATGAGGAAGGTGTGGTAGTCGAAGGAGAAGTTGTACTTGTTGGGCAGCGTGACCGAGTACAGGCCCGTCTTTTGCACGTGGGGCAACGCCGCATAGATGGTCAGAAGCTCGCCGCTGACGCCCATCGGGTACAGCACGATGAAAAAGGTGTACCTGTCAATAGAGGGCAATATTGGGAGTCCGGAAACACTAAAGCACACCAATTTTGCCACGACTATAGACTATTTCACCACTCCAACATCATATGGTCAGGAAACGGACATATTGGGCGACGAGAACATTGTTGAGATGCGCGTGTGTCCTACCGGGCCCACTTGATGAGGTACGGCAGGTGGTTGAGCAGGCTGAAGGTGTAGAAGGAGTAGCGGATGATCTCGGTGACGGTCCAAGCGCTAACAAAGAGCAGCACGCTGTCCTCGCTTTGCACCTGCACGCCAATCCAACGCATCCGGGAGAAAGTGAAGTGAGAAGATGTTTTGTCCCATCGTGGACGTCCTCGACGCAGGACCATGCGGGTTTTGCTCACAACTCGGATCACACTTTGGATGTTAGGTTACAAACAGCAACTATGAACTGTCTTCACTTCTACAGGGGATGGACATCATGGTGAAGCAATTTGGGCAGTGGGGGGCCTAAACAGGCTACAATGTTGTTGTTGGGATAGCATTTCTCATTGGACCTAAAATGGTGTCAAGAAATTCTAGTAATATTTCTCTGGGTGAAAAAAAATCCTAGAACAATTCCCAAGACAGGGAAAAAAAATAATCAGAATATTCTCCAGACAGGAAAAAAAATAGGTGACAAAACATCAGATATGAAAATTCTTAAAATTATGTGGACAGGCAAATACTAAACAGAAATTCTCCAGTTTTGGTGGAAAGAAATTCCAGAAATTTCCCATACTGCAAAAATACATCTCTAAGCATTAAAAAAACAAAACATTTTGATGAAATATAAGTTTTTTGTAATCCTCAGGAGAGTCAATTTTTGGGAGGGAAATGCTCGAGACATAGAACTGTGGGAGGAAATTATCCAAACAAAAATATATATTAGGGGAAAAACTAATTCTACAGAAAGGGGGAAAGCATCAAATTCAAATTATTGGAAAATGTCTTTTAATGTAAATTTTCTCTAGAAAGAAAAAGTATGTTGAGTGACTAAATTACGTGGAAAAAATATCTGGATGGGGGCAAAAAATACTGGAAAATATATGCATCCAAAATTTGGCAAAAATTATTTGGATACAATGGAACTGGCAACCACATTTATGGGGGGTTAAGGATTAAAATTCCCAATGTCCATCCCTGCTTCCACACATTGTCACAACAACAACAACAACAACAAAAAAGGAACCGCAATCAATCAACCCATCCAGCCATCCATCCATCAATCAATCCACACAGCAAATCAATCGCATCCGCATGGAGTGCCTTCATTCCTGCGAGAAAGACATCACCGACTTACGTGCTCACGACTCAGACGCCTCCTACAGCGTGTCAAAAGTTTCCATCAAGTGGCAGCTTTATACATTGCACTGTGATTATTCACGTGTGTGCGTGCGCGTGGTCTCACCTCTCGGACGCTGTGCGTGACGGCCCATGTGAGAAAGACCCGAGACATGACCTGGAAGCTAGTCAGGACGACGGAGGACGGCACGATCCCTGGAAGAAATCATGCTGTGACTAATTTAGTGTACCCAAATGAATTCAACCCATTTTTGACATTCCGCCGCCCTCTGCTGTCCACTAGAATTGACATCAAAGTGCCCTCGGGCTCTCATTGCAGTCATCACGTGACCAAACCAAGAAAAGAGGTGAGGCGTGAAGTTCGTCATGTGAGCAGCAGGCTCAAAATGAGTGGCAGTTTCTCACATCAATACAATCATTTCTGCCGAAAAATTAAGTTTGCCCACAAGAAGGTGACATTAGGCTGTGTAAATTTGAAGTGAGTTGAGATGACGATGGAGGCGCGACTCACCAACTGCGCAGTGTACAATCTGTGAAGGGGGAAAAAATAAAAGGTCAAACAAGAATTTTTTTTTTTTTTTTTTTAATTGTTAGATGAACATGCAGACCTCCAGGACGGCGCCTGTCTGAAAGAACTTGAGGGGTTTCTCGATGGAATAGTAGAGGCCATGGTAGCTTCCTCTGGCCAGGTACGCTCGCACCAGACCCACGGCGATCACCAGCCACCTGCAACACAAAATCAGTTCGTTTGCTTGTTATTGTAGGTGTGTGTGTGTGTGTGTGTGTGTGTGTGTGTGTGTGTGCGCGCGTGTGTAAAGCAAGCATTGCACACTCACAATGTGGCCCAACTGGTTGGCACAGTGAGAATTGTGCAATGATTTACACCGTTGAAGTGAAAATGTTACTCACAAGTACTCCTCATTCAGAATTTTTTTGTCATATGATTTATCTTAATTAATTCATCTAAAATGTGAGTTTAAGGAATGGCTTTACTATAAAAATCACAGACTAATTGTCAAAAAAACACCACTCCTAACTACAATTTCATTGTACTTTATTAAAATTCTGAAGGTGCCAAAATAAAGCAGCCACAATGGTGAATAAAGTAAATCATTATATCAAAAATATACCGGAGAATCTATATCCTCCGCGCATGCGCAATCGTGTTTCGCTGAGGTTAATTCGCGTTAAAATGACTGCGAGGCAAATTCAAAGTTCATTGAAAACCACAAAGGTTTGCACTATCACCGATGAAGATAGCTAAGTAAAAATTCACATTGAAATAATTAAAATTATGAGTGTTAATAACTGCAGCCATTAACAGCAGAGCTGTCCATGCTGCACATTAGCATCAGTAACATGCTAGCTTACCCCGCTGTCATCACAACATTGTAGATGACTAAATAAGCGGTGGCCAAGGCGCCGGGTCCCTTCTTTGTAGCCGGGGCCTTGTCGCCGTGAGACGCCTTGATAGCCCCCGAAGCAGCTCCCGACATGACTGCAAGCAAGCGAGCCGAGGAGGTGATCGATCTTTGGCCCTTGAAGGTGGCCGCTGTCACGGCGGAAAAACTACTGGAGCCAAGACACAGAAGTGACGTCAGTCATTGTCCTCCCCCCGTACTCCGAATTCTCCAATATCTATTATTACTAAAATGAAAAAGTATTATTATCTATTATAAAAAAACGTCATAAAATGACATAACATAACGAGTTTGTTACGCTTTCGTCACTTCCGAATTTAATCGAACAGTCATATTCAAATATTTAAATTACCATGAATTTAAATATTTGTATAATTCTAGTTATGATTATTCTTGTATTATTTTTTTACGTATGTTTATGTCGTGTCAAAAACAACTTCCAGCCAGTTTTGAAACGGATGGGAAACAAACAAGCATAAAACATGCAGTGTTACAATTGTCAAAAATATGGTCACATATCGTCTTATTACGAATGAATACAGACGACGGATATGTGTGGAGGTGAGCAGAAGTATGGTGATTGTGCATGTGAAGACAAGGCAAGATGTGCGAAATGTCCTAATGTCAATCATAGGGAGTGAAGAAAACGGCTACAATAAAACAAGTCCAAATGGAGAAAAAGACACCATATGCAGAGCCACTAAAAATGGTGCAGCATAAGCAAAGTAACAAGAAGTATTTGGAGAGTGTCAGGAACATTTGCAAAGTAACAGAAGATACGATGATTGTGAATAAGATAAACTATCCATATTTGACACCTAAAGTAATCAATTGCTCCCACCAAGATAAACACAGAGCGGGGGGGATTGTAAGTACATTGACATTCTCTTGGTAATTATAAATTGTAAAATATGTGAGAGACGCTAATGAGAGTTAAGTGTAGTTCTTGAGTTTATTCAAAGGAGTTCAAATTTGTCCTCTGTAAAGAACATTTGTAAACCTAAATATCTCCCACCCAGTGCATCCAATCGCATGAACTCCTTTTGTTCTCTAAAGAGGACATTCAGTGCTTTCCAATGATACCAAATTTCTAGGGGGTGGGGTTTCTTACATTGACTTCACAGTAGAAGAAAATGGCTTCCCACAGTGCAAGCACTTTTTATGGGAGGAGGAAAAGTAAGTGTTTAATACTTTTTATCAAACACATTTTGTCTTGAAATGCTGTTGGCATTTTATTTATAAGACTCTTATGAACACATTGAGTTATTTTAAGTGTATTTGAGCCTAGTATTCAAGTGTTTAAAAAATGTCCTCTGTAGTGGACATTTGAAGTTATTTCGTCCATTTTGCTCTTTTTTTCCCAAATGACAAGAAAGGGAGTCATTCGCAGAAGCAGAGGGAATTTTACTGCGGATTGTTGATGGAAACTCAGACATTGAGTTGTCTGATGAAGATGATATGATGCTGCTATAACACGCCAAAACTGGATCCCGGTGGATTATTTTCAGCAATACATTGATGACTCTGTGTTTGAAGAAATGGCCCTGTACGCAAATCAGCATGAAGTACTTGTGTCTGGAGCAATGTTAAATACCACACCTGAAGAACTGAAGACATTCTTTGGGAATTCTATGTACATGGGCTGTCTAGGTTATCCAAACATTCAAATGTATTGGGCCTCAAGGCCTCAAATACTGTACTAGAGTAGAAATTGTGGCGGAATCCATGACCAGAAATTGGTTTTACAAATTGAGAAACTCCATCAAACTCGTCAACGACCTTGATGTTTCAGATGAAATAAAAACAAAGTATCTCTTGTGGAGAATCAGGGCTCTCTTGAGCAAAGTAAGGCAAGGATGTCTGAGTCTGCCAAGAACAGGAAAATTGTGCATTGACAAGCAAATGGTTCCTTTTACTGGTCGATGCCAAGTGCGCCAGTATTTACTGGGCAAACCAAACCCAACTGGACTGAAGGTATTTGTCTTGGCTGCACCAACTGGTCTAGTTCTGGATTTTGTGGTCTACCAAGTCAAGACAACTTTCACAGTTACCGGAGGATAGGGCATCGGGGAACAAGCTGTTCTTCAATTGACAGAGTCTGTTCCCCAAGGTACCCACCTGTTCTTTGACAGGTACTTTACAACAATCAGCCTTGATGACAAAAGGACTGACAGCGACTGGAACCCTCATGAATAACAGGGTTCCAAAGGACTGCAAGATCGGCGATAAGCTTTTCCTTTGCGTTTCCAAGAAAGGGAATTGCTTTTTGAAGTATCATACCAAATAAGCATAATCGAAGCAAAAGTGAAACAAAAGAAAAGCGATGATGGACAGTTATGTTTATGTTGAACACTTTGTCAAGTTGACTTTTTGATATTTTTGTTGGACTAACTGTTTAACAATGAAGTTCTGTTTCCCCTGTATTGGGTTCCGATGTCCACTGTAGAAGACACATCAAAGCTTAAAAACAAAAACAATATTCCAATTACTTCACATAGATTGGGGAATTTCAAAATAAATGTGATTGGACAACATTTCTTTTCCTGGTAGTCAGCAGGATAAGTCACAGCAGTAGTTATGACAGATCATTGGGTAGCGGTAATACACTCTTTCAGTTTGCCAGCCGTCGTTGAACGCAACAAAGAAGAGGAAAACTAGGAAGGGGAAAAACGGAACAGGCATCGCCGAAGACGACAAAGTTCCCGGAAGTCCTACGAGTCGGATTTTACAGGACGAGGAAACGTTATTTGTTTAGTCATTTTTCCGTCTAACTTGCCTGACAGCCATACTTTCCCATCTTGGATACTTTGTGGTAGTTTTTTATTATGCCTTTTTTTGCCTCAAACCCATTTGACCAAGATGTGGGTAAGTGAATCGCTACCTTTGTTGTGATGCGAAGAGGTCCACTTGTTGCTAACGTTAGCTTAGCTGGAGATTCTTCATTGTTGGCTGGCGAGTGTATTGAATTGCCGTTGACAGTTAAAATGATTCCTTCAAAGTGTCATATTGGTGTGTGGAAGGGGAGATTAAACGGTAAAATTCTCAACAACTCGTTGCTTTAAAAAGTAAAGGGCATACAATGGAATACAAACATTATGCCTGTGACCTGCCTTAATGTGTGTCATGATCACCTGATTGGAATGTAGGTCAACTAAAATGGATGGACATTCAAAGCTTAAAAACAAAACATTGAGTTTTATATGGGTGATTTAAAAACGGGTAGGTGCCAGTGACTTATTGCTGATGACATATTTGACATACAGGATGAGGCAAAAGGAGGTGTACATTTGGACTTTTTTTTTTATTACAGTGACATTTATCAAAAAGTACACTTATTAAATACAGTACATCTTCTAAGTGCTTGAAATGTCCTCCTTCGGCGATTCAACATTGGTCATACCTTTCCAGAACACAGTGACCACTTTTGGCCCGACCTGAATATTAAAATTTTGGATGTGTGTATTTACAGAGAAGGCTACCAATGAAACCAACACCACAGAGAACTGGGCGCTCATTATGGACATCTGTGATAGGATTGGAACGACACCTAATGGGTACGCCGAGAGGGGCGAAAAAGGAACACCAGCATAACATCTCCAGAATTGCTTGCTTGATTTCGGGAGTTATTTCTGGTTGTGATATCTGTGCTGTTTTCTCAAATTCAGACCGAAGGATGGCCTGAGGGCCATCATGAGGAGAGTCAACCACAAAGTGCCTCATGTGGCCATGCAGGCCCTCAATGTGAGTTAGTTACCTGTACTGTTTCACCATCTTGTTGCCATCAAAGACACTATGACATCACATCAGACCTTTGCCACAACCACCCTGTGACCATCAAAAACGAATTACAATTCAGTCAACATTTTGCCCTCAACTCAACTTTTTTATTTTGTCTTTCAGTTGCTGGCCGCTTGCGTGTCCAACTGTGGAAAAATCTTCCACTTGGAAATCTGCTCACGGGAGTTTACGGGCGAAGTGCGCAGCTTGCTGAGCAAAGTGGGTGCACTTATCGAAACGATATATCCCCATATTGAAGGAGAGGGGTTACATTTGCTCAAAGTGGCCTTACTTAGCAACCAAAAGAAGGTTTAGATGATGAAGTTGTGACTGTGTTGGTGTCAGCAGGCGCATCCGAAGGTGTGCGAGAAGCTGAAGGCGCTGATGGTGGAGTGGGCCGATGAATTCCAGAGGGATCCTCAGCTCAGCCTGATTGGTGCCACCATCAAGTCGCTGAAAGACGAAGGCGTCAGCTTCCCTTCGACGTCCTCACAGGTGAGTTGTTTGGGTTGCCCCCACCCCACCCCGACCCTCCATACTGTGTGTAACGCCAGGCTGTAGCATCGCTCGTTGTCCACATTAAAGTCAGTATACTTTGCTCCTGACGTGTTTTTTTTCCAACAATACAATGTATCTCTGTTCATCAAGTGGAACGTAAACATTTCATCAACAATGAAAGAAACCCAATTAGAATCTTTTTCGTAATCCTTCAATCCACAAACAAATTACTACCACTCGGAGTTGACGGTTTTGAATGCTGGAGCGTTCCATTATCAAAAGGAAGCGTTGGTAGCTAACCTCACCTTTTTGTTAACCTTCTCTCTCTCTCTCTCTCTCTCTCTCTCTCTCTCTCTCTCTCTCTCTCTCAACGCCGCAGGGGTCGAGCGTGAAGGGCAGCAGCTCTCCTGCCGCGAGCAAAGCCACAGATGATGACGACGACGACCTGACCAAAGGTGGATTCAAACATGTGATGCATCCACATTGCCTTCACTTTGGTACAGCCTTATTCCAAATTGGTCGTCACTCGATTTATAGCTGTTCACTTTTTCAGTCTCACTATATCGCCCATTTTAAAATAATAATTAAAAAATAAATAAAAATGACATTTGACAACAGATTTTTTTTGCTGTCCTGCGAGATTTTGTGGTGATCATTATTCCACACGGACAAATGTTAGTCAACAGTAACTGTTATTCCATTTCTGTAGTGCTCAACAGAAGCAGACTCATTATATTGTGTTGGAACAAAATAAAATAATTATCAACATTTTTGCCCTCAAATATAGCTAATTTAGGAATTGGGCTGTAACATTACGAAATGGAGAAAATTTGCTAGAAATACTTTACACAAGCACTATATGTATGTTTGAAGTTAATTATTATTTTTTTAAAAAGTTGCCTTTATGGTGTTAAAACCCTCCAGTTTTGGAATGAGGCTGTGAATATACTTTTTATATTTCACCATTCATCATTGTGACTCATTTTCCTCAACATGGCAGCCATCGAGCTCTCCTTGCAGGACCAGAAGCAGCAGGCAGATTCGCGGCCCCCCATGATGTCAGGCGATCCCCCCAGCTACGGCAACAGCGAAGGCGGCGGTCCGGCGCAGGACGCGCGCAAGGTCCGAGCGCTGTACGACTTTGAGGCGGCCGAGGACAACGAGCTCACGTTCAAAGCCGGAGAGCTCATCCTGGTCTTGGATGACAGGTTGGCGTGACTCATCAAAAGAGCATCTGGATGATTTTCAAGTCGAATTTGAGAAGTGTACAAATTACAGTCATGGGGAATTACAAATCCAGTTGTCTGACTGACGTTTCTATTTCTCTGTTTTATTTTTCCCTGACAGCGATCCAAACTGGTGGAAAGGGGAGAACCACCTTGGTGTGGGTCTCTTTCCATCCAATTTTGTCACCAGCAACCTGAACAGTGAATCGGAAACAGGTCAATAGTGCCCCCTATGGGAGGTTATTGATTTTTCATGCTTTGATGTCAGCTGTTTGTTTTTTCCTCCCACAGGGTCTGCTGTGGAGAAAGTGTTGCCGTCAGAGGAGTTGATTGCCGAACCCATAATTGAGCCTGAGTCCATCTTCATTGATGAGGTTTGTGCCTACATTACTTTTTTCAAGAAATTTTACTTTATAGTTGAATGGGGGAAAAAAAAATCACAAAATGGCCTCCAAGAAGATATTTACTAGCTATGTCACACATTCGTAAATACATCATACAAGTATTGTATAATGTGCAGGGTCATAATAGCTGTGGATTTTTCTTTCATTCATTCATTCATTCATCTTCCGAACCGCTTGATCCTCATTAGGGTCGCGGGGGGTGCCGGAGCCTATCCCAGCTGTCTTCGGGCAGTAGGCGGGGGACACCCTGAATCGGTTGCCAGCCATGGATTTTTCTTGATAGTTTTTATTTTGTTTCGACTTTTCTTTTTTTAATTCAGTTGGTTCAAATTAGTTTGTAGTGAGGGTTTCCTCATTTTGCTTTTATTAGGTATAGTATCGGTTTTTGCTATTATGTATGGAGTATGTGCGGTGCAAGATTTAAAAACGACAACAAACACCTCTGCCACCTTGCGGAATAGAAACCAACGACTTGCAGTAATCCACCTCATGTCTTTTGTTTGTCATGGCAGGGGAAGATGGACAGGTCTTTGGCGATGCTGCGAAACGCCGATCCCGCAGATCTGAATCCAGACCCCGCCGAGCTGATCCAGCTGGAGGGTATCAAGCCGCACGCTCGTGTAAACACGCATACAATTCCTTATTATACTCCTACCAACTGTGTTTGATTGAACAGATGCTTGTGAGCAGATGAACCCCATTATTGACGAGAAACTGGAGGAGCTCGACCGGTATGAGGATTTGGCTTCTTGTGGAGACGCCAACCGAACCGGTTCCGGCCGCTAGAATAATCTTTCTCTCTCTCTCACAGGAAGCACTCGGAGCTGTCGGAGCTCAACGTGAAGGTTCTGGAAGCCCTGGAGCTGTACAATAAGCTCATGAATGAGACGCCAATGTACCAGGCCTACTCCAAGATGACCCAGTATGGAACTGCGGCCCCCGCGAACACCATGCAGGTCAGACCAACGCACTCGCACAGGTGGAAAAGACCCTCATAAAGTATGGGTCCACACGCACATTGGGGTTTTCGCAGGTCATTAAATGGATTTTGCGAAACGTACAACCATAAAGGGCATTAAAAAAAAAAAAAACATTAAATATTCATTGAGTTAAAACACCACGAGTAAGCTGCTGCTTTGCACCAAGCTAGGCTACTATCTGCCTGGCTTGTCACTTGGAAGTGACTCCAATGCACTTGTTTTTCAGACTTGAGGCATATTTATTGAGTAACTCCTCCAGGTAGATCGTGTAACATCATTGGTGTTATTTTTGGTTGGTTCGCTCGAAAACTGCATCGGCACTGACAATGCGCATCAGTATAAAACCGAAACTCAGGGCATTTAACGTTGTGCAAAGGAGTCACTATAACACACTTTAGCGGGAAATATGATTACAAAAAATATCTTGTTGTGGAGAATTGTATTTTGCAATAAACATAACATGCGCATGTGTAACCGAGACGTGTCATATATTCACTGGAACGGAATTGTTCCTTGCACTTTCTTCATAAGAAGTGGCATGTTGTGTAACCAAAACAAATAAATAAATAAAAGATTCGAAATAATTCCCAGTCCAATAAATCTTCAGCACACGCGGCTGAGCCTCATCTCTCTTGCCTTATGAAGCGTGACAAGTCGATGAACGAAACGCTGGCGTGTGAAGTCTTGCAAACAAATTGCCACGGTTGATTCGCAGGTTAAATGGAGACAAAAAGCGATGCTGATCAGAATTCTTTATTTTCTGACATCTTGACTCTTACGTTCCATGTTTTGTTTGTAGTGTCACAAGAGCATGTCTGTGGTGGGGGGCATCCAGCCTTTTTTTCAAAATGTTATCCATTGAAAAAAAAAAAAATGACAAGAAGCCTCTCTTTACAATGCTAACTCGTCGTCGCATTCAGGGCTACGTCAGCCAAGCTGCCGCCACTGCCTACCTGCCCCCCGGGATGCCTCCACCACCGACCTACAGTTTGCCCGGCGACCAGCAGGGGCCGCTGCATTCACTGCCCAACAACAACCAAACTGCGCTGCCAACCTATATGAGGTAAGATGGAGCTCACCTCTTATTTTACACCACCCGACGGGGAGCAGAATACTCGGAACCACAATGGATGAAAAATGTCAACAAAGTAACCTGTTGCGTTGACAGCAGCGGCGTGAGCTCCCATCACCAGTACATGAGCCAGGCAGCCGGCGGCGCCGTTTACCCGCAGATGCCCGTCGACATGTCGGCCTATCATAGCGGCGCCGTGCAGCCCGTGTCCTACCCTGCTTCTGCTGCAGCCCCGCAGCACCACCAGCACCAAGTGCAAGGGGCATACTACCAGCAGCCCCTCCTCTAAAAGGCAACAATAGGTTGGACCGGTGTGTGTGTGTCCTGGTCTACCTGATGACTGCTTCCTGGCGAGGATGGACATGCCCGTTTTCTCACTTTTTTTTTTTTTGTTTTTCAATATCAAACTTGTCTTTTTAAATCTTCAACGAGTGTGTACCGTGAAGCCCCTTTCGCGCCACGCCGCCTGCGGGAAAGTTTTTTTTTACCCAATGGGGGTGTTAAAAGTCGACCTGGGAATGTAACTCGGTATTAGAAGCCCCTTTCACACTGCCAATCATTCTTTTTGTGATGCCGTTTTGTGTGAAATGTAAAAACAAGGGCGATTGGGGCGTGGGGCTTGAGTTGACTGGTATGTTTTCAATATTTCAACATGAAGCGGTATCAGAAGCTCCTTTCATGCTGCCAGCACTTGGCCATATCCCACTTCTGCGTGTAAGGTACCCACAGGGAACGGCAGGGTGTGTTGACCTGCAAATTTTGGGGCATCTGACAAAGCCGTGTGGGTAAAAACCGACCGATTAATTTTTGGGCTTCTGATGCAAGTAGTTAGAAGCTCCTTTCATGCTGCCCATCATAGTTGACAGGCCCCACCCATGTGGCCCCAGTCTATGTGTAATGAAGGTACAAATAGATTGGTGCGCGGCTTTGACGTCAGATTTTCTGTTTTCAGAATCCCCTTTCACACTGCCTGTCAAAGCAGGACAAAAAGCCACCTGTTTCACGGTACCAACAAAAAACTGTATTGTTGAAGGTAACCGTTTTTGGTGACAGCACGGAATGGTTGAAGTCAAGCAACATATATTCGTTATCCGAAGCCCCTTTCCCACTGCCCACCGATGGGGGTCTTTTTCACTGACTTTCAAGCACCGGTTGAAGTGGACCTGCGAAATTTCAAGTATCAAAACCCCCTTGAAACACGGCTGCCTGTCAAAAGCTGGCTTTTTTGCAGCTAGCTGTAAGGTACTGAACCGAAACGGGTGTGCCATGTTGGAGTCATCCTGCAAACTTACCCAGCTTTCGCCGTGGGTGCCAGAAGCCCCTTAGAGAAATGGGGCAAAGGGGTTTTCAGAGAATCCGGAAAAGCCTTTATTACCCCACACTCATGTCTCCTTCAGTTTTGTGTCGAAAGCAATCATCAACCCCGATCAAAATCAGCCGTCACCCATTTTGTACCCCAACCTCAGTCGGGCCCCTGTGCTGGAGACCGACGTAATTATTCTTCTGTGTATTTTCCATGTACAGTCGCACCTTAGCTTTGTACACATGTATTTACCACTGGATGCCTTGGCTGCCTGCGTATCAACACGAGCGTGACGCAGGTGTGCTGCTGCTGCTTGTGAACTATAATTAATAATATATGTATATAGATATATATATTCCACAAAAGTGCTCCTTTACCCCTTTTGTAACTTTAAAGATGTTCTTGCGCAGATAATTAAAAAAATTAATAAATGAACAAACTGTGGCTATTTTCTTCGCGGGTGCACGTCAAAATGGCGGCTCGTTAGCTGGTCATCATTTATTCATCGGGCGTGACCTTTTCAGAGAGCCACCACCGCGCTTGACTTCATGGCGAAACGCCATGGGGATCCTTGGGTTCGACCGTTGCCACCTGTGTCGCAGCAGCTGCCTTTTTGACAGTCGGACCGTTTTGGGGGGAAAAAAAAAAGTCTATACTGCCTTCAAGTGCCTCAACTCTTGATTATTGCGACTTGATTATGGATGCAGGTGGTGATGAAGTAGAGATTTACTGGGTAGAATTGAGAGTCAGTATGAAACATGATCCATCCATTTTCCGATCCGCTTATTTTCAATCAGCCTGCCTGCCATGCATGTTTTTGGAATGTGGGAGGAAACCGGAGTACCCGGAGAAAATCCACGCGGGCCCGGGGAGAACATGCAAACTCCACACAGGGAGGCCAGAGCTGCGATTGAACCCGGTACCTCTACACTGCGAGGTCGACGAGGTCCACTGGCCCACCGGGCCGCCCATGAAACATAATTTTTAAAAATATTTTTGTTTTAAGAACTGTGCCAATTGCTGAATATATGGAAATTTGTTTTTGAATCTCTAATTTGAACGTTTTCCATGTATTTTAATGTTCAATAGACTTGGTAGGCGAACGTCTCATGACTGAAAATGTAAAAAAAAAAAAAAAAAAACTACTTTCAGTAGTATTTGTTTATTGAACATCGTACACCTTTTTATGTTGAATAGAATTACCATATTTCCTTTGCTAAGCGGACACGTCATGACTTTCAAAATAAAATATTTTGTTTTTGAAGATAATGTTCTGTGATTATGCAGCCTGTGTTATTTCCTTTGGTAAACGCATCATGACAAAATGTTGGGAAAAAAAAGAATGTTCAATGGAAGTCGTGATATTTCCTGTGGTCGGCGAACACGTGAGCGTGAAACTTGAGTAGCGTTCTTTTATGTCTGGTGAATTAGGGTGGAGAAATGTGTCGTGACATCTGTGCGGTTACTGAACGCATCGGCGCAGGATGAAAACTAATCGTGATGTTTGGTGCGGTCATTGAACGCGTCACGAGCAAGGAGACTGGGCTTGCTGCCACTCCCCCCTCAGCCCCCCTCAGCATCCTTTCCTGGAGCAGCAGCACACGACCGAACGCACGACAGGACCGAGAACCTCCCAACGTTGTCAGGACTGAACCAAGCTGGAGCCGGCGGTGGCGTCGGATCCGCACGCCGGGCAGCAGCAGCCGGGGTGGAGCGGTGCCGAGCGGCAGCCTCCGCCCTGGACCGACGAACTGGCTGACATGTCCCGGCACATTTACGGCAGACACGGGCCGGCGGACGGAGCGCGCAAGGCAGCCTTCCAGGTTTACATTTTTCGTTCAGTTTTTAGTTCATATGGGCACTCACGGTCCACTTTATCAGGTGCACCTGCTGTCATTGAGATCCAATAGCCTATAAGAAAGCTTGTACTAAATAAGGTGGTCTAAAACATTAAGAATTGCTCTTCCAAAGGCATTTTTTTGTTTAGTTTTTTTGAAGGGGGTACCTAATGAATTGGCTTGTGATTTGAACTCCATCCAATGAAAAAAAATTGCAAGAAAAATTTTGTGGGACAAAATGACGGGGTGCCATTAATCACTGCCCCCCCCTCACACACACACACACACACACACACACACACACACAGTCGCCCCACAAGCTCAGGTGCAGACCCCCTCTGACTTCAAAGTAGGTCACTTGCTCATGATGCTCACTGGCAAACGGCAGAAAACCTTGTTGTCATATTCAAGATTTGTCGTAAATATACGATGATGACTATTAACGAGAATGGGCAATACCCCTAAATTCCCCAAATGTGATGGGAGTAGTTTTGGTTCTAATTTAGTTAAGGCTTTATTTTCTTCCAAAGTTTGTTTGATCAGGAGTATTTTTAAAATGGATCGGAACTATTGTTGGGCGATAACAATAGGCCATTCTGCAATTTACCAAATTGATGACTTTTTTTATATTCAAGTTTCTTCAGTTTTGTGCTTATTGTTAGCAGGATACATTGAAAATATGTGATATTTGACTTTATTTGATCCCTTTGCATATCAAATATACTGCCAATTGCGAACCAGCAACTAGAATAAGTAACTTAAAAGTGAAATTTCACCAATTACAGCATTTTTTTTGTTCGGCTTTCTGTTTTGATCCTTTGTGTGTTGTGAAATAGTTTGACAATATTCATAGAATTGAACTAGCTAGCATCAATCATGATAAGTAACTGAAATGAGGTTGATCCGTTTTAGTTAGCAGGCTCCCATTTCAGTTAGAAAGACGTTTCAACTTTTAACTGATTTTTTTTTTTTTTTGGTTCGACTCTCTCTTTCCTTTGATGTCTTTGGATGAATAAATAGGTTGGAAATGTCATAGGACACTAACTCGCAACTATGGTAACTTGCAACGATTATAGTGAATGATTTAAAAGTGGAGATGGTCTGATTCGGTTCGAAGTTTCCCCAATTGACAAAATAAATTGAATTTGATTTTTTTTCTTTACAATCCTTTGCCGATTGTGAAATAGATCAGAACTATCGTAAGATTTTAAACTAGCAACGAATTCGTTGTTGCCAATTTGATTCGCATTTCCCGCCATTTACCCAATAGTGTGTTTTCTCAGATTGTTTCTCTACGAAAAGTTTCAATTTGCTGCGTCTCTTTTTTTTTTCTTGTTACATTTCAGGTAAACGGAAGTACATACTCCAGGAGGAGTAGACTGAAGAGATCGGACGGCAGCACCACATCCACGAGCTTCATCCTCAGACAGGTACCAAAGCTTTCTTTTGCATCTGCATAACTACATTTTTAAGTTGCAAAAATATATGCACAGTGTATTTTCTGCAGCGCAACAACGAGGCGCTCTAAAGCGGTCATGCCAACCCGAAGGCCTGATCGGCAAGCTCGCTCTCAAGTTTGTTTTGTTTTGTTTTTTTTCGCCACCCTCATCGCTCTTGTGGCTTGTCTCCGTGTCTCCACGCACTCCTGACAACAAGACGCTTTAAAGTGGCAAAGCTGGCTGGCTAGCTAGCTAACTGCAATTTCAAAACAAATCTTCACTTTACATTAAAAAAAAGACAATCCCTCAGTCTTCCATGAAGCATTGTGGCTTGTTTATATATATTATATTTCGGCAAATTCCAGTCTTCTCCGTTTCGCCTACTTCCTTCTCCTCAGCCAATGGGGACGCTGCCGACTGTGTAGTGAGCTCGCTTGCTGATGGGAGGCAAAGCTGCATTCGCTGAAGGAGAAGAGAAAATACACTCCTCTTTCTGATTGTGTGTGTTGTGTCCGTGTGTGTGTGTGTGTGTGTGTGTGTGTGTTCGTGTAGAAGGCAGAATTTCCTTTTACATGTACGACACTTTGTACCCACATGGATTTGATGACTGGGAGACGGTAAGCCTACGACGCATATCAATGTCTTCTAGTGTCATATTGCAAGAATAACATTAATGAAACAATAAAACAAGTGTTAAACAATGATTCAGACAGGACTTTACTCCGGGGGAATAAACTTTCATGAGTCATCATAGTGCAAGTAATAAAGTAACAATAAAGAACACAGCAGTTAAATAATTCAAAAATAGTTTGTTTTACAATTTCCATAAAAGCATTACAAAAATTAATTTGTATGTTTACTACAAAAGGTTTACATTTTTACATGAACAGTTTTTAAAACATTGCAACATTAGATTGCTACTTGTCACGAGAATTAAAAAAAAAATCAAAAATAAAGTTGAACGTCTAAGTTCAAAAATTTAAAGTTGTCATTTACAACGGAACATTTTTTTTTATTTGCTGCAAAACTTCTGCTTTCTTTCGAATGTCGTTGGACGAAATATTGTAAAGTGTAGTCACTGTGGTTAAGTGTGCATTGTTATTTTTAGCTAAAGCTGGTTAGCATAGCGACGGGGGCTAGCAGACGCCATCCAACAAGAATGCTTTTAATCTTTCAACTCCACTGCAATAGGCCCTCAGACAAAACAAGAAGTCAAGATAAACCTCAAGTGTCATGCTACGCTAACCACTACAGCGCTATCAGGCACAGATGTGTGTGTGTGTGTGTGTGTGTGTGTGTGTGTGTGTGTGTGTGTGTGTGTGTGTGTGTGTGTTGTGTTGGATAAAAGTTATGCCGGATGGAAATTGCAGTGGATAAACTTTGTGGTTATCATCAATGAAAATTGTGCCTGATGTAAATTTATTGTTTTAATAAGTGAAAATTCCATCGAATGACATTGATTGGTACAAAATGAAAGTTGTGCCAGATGATGGTTGTACTAGATGAAAGTTATGAATGATGAGAGTTGTGTTGAACGGGGTGGCGTAGCTCAGGTCATCTCCCAACCCCGAATTTGGCGGTTCAATCCGTGGCTATTGCGACCTCGTCGAAGTGTCCTTGAGCAAGACACTGAAACCCTGAGTTGCTCCTGATGCTGCGTCATCAGTCGTTAAATAAGGCAACAGTGTCAAGTGCTTTGAGTACCAAAGGTAGAAAAGCGCTACAGAAGTAACAGTCGCATTTGCCAATCAAACTTTGTTTCTGGCTGAAAATTGCTCATTCTCTTTAGTGCGTTAGCATCTTTGTCATATTACAGCTTCGCCGATGACTGTCCAATGCACAACCTTCCCTTACATGGTGGCTGACGGTTGTCATAGCAACCCCAGCAACTATGGGATGTTTGAAGGTGCATGAAGCGTGCCGGCCGCCATTGTTGTTTCCACGCTTTGATGACGCCACATGAAAGTACAGCTGTCATGAAATAAACATCAGCTCACGGCTCCTGTCTTCTTCATCATTGGTTCTTCTTCTTTGGTTTTCCAGGGTTCTGCTGACTCGTACACCAGCCGACCATCCGACTCGGACGTTTCCCTGGAGGAGGACAAGGAGGGTGGCAGGCAGGAGCGTGAGCAGCAGGCGCAGATTCAGCTGGAGAGAGCCAAGGTCTGTTTCCACACACCCGGCACTTCCTTGTCTTATTTAATCTTATCTTGTGAGTTTCTTGGTTGTTTCTTGATAAAGACCAAAGCGGTGGCGTTCGCCGTGAGGACAAACGTCAGCTATTGCGGAGCTGTGGACCAGGACGTCCCCGTGGGAGGCACCGCCGTCTCCTTCGATACCAAGGACTTTCTCCACATCAAAGAGGTTCTGTTTTGGGCTTTTTTTGTCCAAATTAACCAGATGAACTTCCCATCTCACAATGTAAGATCAATAATCATGCCCAAAGATGTACGCAATAAAATGAACCCACAGCCATAACTTTCTGTAGATGTAAAAAGCAGGATCGAAGAGTCAAGGTCACTTTTTAAATTGAAGTAACACTGCACTAGTTAGAGAAAAATCATTCTTTTCCGAGAAAGAAGCATCAGACATTTAAAACCTTTAGAAAAGTTTCTTTTTGAGAAAAAAAGTTAATATATTTTAGAAAAAGGTCAGATGTTTTAAGAGAAAAAAAAAGTATCATTTCCAGAAGTCATGTATTTTGAATATTTTGAGTATTTTCAAGGGAAAAAACTTAAAAAAAGATCAAAGATATTCCTTTTTTAAATGCAAATTATTTATACAAAAATTAGATATTTTTGAAAAGTTAGAATTTCTTCTAGACCAATAAAATGATTTTTGAGACAAACATTACATATATTCCCAAATAAAAACATTAAAATATATTTTTAATCAATAAAGTTATATATTCATGAGAAGAAAAGATTCTTTTTTTTTGGTAATATTTTCAATAAAAGGGCCTATTTTCAAGAACAAAAAAAAAATCTAATGAAGAAAGTGAGAAAGAAAGAACATGAATATATTTTCAAGAAAAAAAAAGATATCTCTACACAACCAAAATGAAATATTTTGTACTTAAAATAGGGTCTATTTCCAAAAGAAAAAACGTTTTCATGTTTGCGTGTGCAGAAGTACAACAACGAGTGGTGGATCGGTCGCCTGGTGAAAGAAGGTTGTGACGTTGGCTTCATTCCGAGTCCTCTCAAGCTGGAAAACATTCGCCTGCAACATGACAACAAGCGAGGACGCTTCCAAGGGTCCAACACCCTTTTCCATAACTTTATTACAATGACACAATACTTGTGTTTTGCTTTTATTATTTTTCATATTAGTAACATATATATATTTTGTCGCTTTTGGTCTAGCAGTCACCACAAGTCCGGTGGGAACTTGTCGTCCAGTTTAGGAGACATCGTGTCAGGAACCTTCAAGAGCACGCCAAACAGTGCAGGTGGGTCCACACTGGTTCTGTCCCGTTTCAAGTGGTGGGAGCACAGTTTGTTTTGATTCAAAGTGATCCTTCCTCATTCAGAATTTATTGTCATCAACAGGGAAGCAGAAACAAAAAGTGGTGAGTGGAACATTTTGTTTGATTATTTTGTATATATATATTTTTTTCTGCTGCTTTGATGTGCCCAAATTGATTTTTCTGTGGTCAAATATTGCAATTTGCTGCACAAATATTGAAGCTTTGTAAATGTAACACTCGATGTGCAATTTCTGGAAGAATGTGTCGCGTTTTTGTGGGCAAAATCGATCATTTTCTTGCGCAAATCAAAATGTTGTCATCAACACTGCATTTTGTGCCTCCTGTTTAGGCCGAGCAAGTGCCCCCGTATGACGTAGTCCCTTCCATGAGGCCGGTGGTCCTGGTGGGTCCGTCGCTTAAAGGCTACGAGGTAGGATGACGACACCATGGTCATGATGATTAATATTAATAATCATCATCACGACGGGAGGGGCGGTGCACCGGGAGTCGGTTGTCATGGAGTCCCCGTCCCTCCTCTTGCCCCGTTGGCTGCCATCGCCATGGAAACGGCAGTCTTGTGCGTTCACTAAAGAAGCAGAAAGAATACGGAAACATTTGGACTGTAGAAAGGATGATAAAAGTACTCGTACATTTATATAAGCCCGCGGGAAACTTTATCCACTTGTCCCTGGAAGAACCTGACACACACACCAACACCTTCCGTCCCCGCAGGTGACCGACATGATGCAGAAGGCGCTGTTCGACTTCCTGAAGCACAGGTTTGACGGCAGGTGAGTCCCTCGTGCACAACACGTGTATCTTTGAGTTCGTGCGATCGAGGTTTGATGTGACCGGTGGCGTCTTGCGTTGGCAGGGTCTCCATCACCCGGGTAATGGCCGACATATCTTTGGCCAAGAGGTCAGTACTAAACAACCCCAGTAAGCGCGCCATCATTGAGAGGTCCAACACCCGTTCCAGCATCGGTAACGCCCTCACTCAATGATGCGCACGTGTCTTGGAGGTCTTATATGTGTCTTTGATATACCCCGAGTGTTTCTTTGAGAGTTTATTTTTTTTGTGTGTGGGGCGGAATAGCTCAGTGGTAGAGGCTCAGTATTTATAAGGTGTCTTTGATTCCGGCGTAGCTGAGGTGCAGAGCGAGATCGAGCGCATCTTCGAGCTGGCGCGCTCACTGCAGCTGGTGGTGCTGGACGCCGACACCGTCAACCACCCGGCGCAGCTCGTCAAGACCTCGTTGGCGCCCATTCTAGTCCACGTCAAAGTGTCCTCGCCTAAGGTGGGCGGCGGCGGATAAAAGAGGGTCTGAGCCAAAGAGGCTACGGATGCAGATTGTGATTTTGAACCTTTAGGTCCTCCAGCGTCTCATCAAGTCTCGCGGCAAATCTCAAAGCAAACACTTGAACGTGCAGCTGGTGGCAGCTGAAAAACTTTCCCAGTGTCCTTCTGTAAGTAGCCACAGTTTTTCACCATCATATTTTTTTTTACATCAGTTTTCCGTCATTTGTGCTTGTACGTTCGCCCCGCGACAGGAGATGTTTGACATCATCCTCGACGAGAACCAGCTGGAGGACGCCTGCGAGCACCTGGCCGACTACCTGGAGGCGTACTGGCGAGCCACGCACGCCCCTTTGCTCAACACCACGCCAGGACGCAACTTGAGCTCCACAGCGCTCTCACCGTATCCCGCCGTCATCCAGGTCGTTCAAGCTCAGCGACAAGTCGCAAGTCGACCAGTAAAGGATTGAAGTTGGAAATGCGAGACAAAAAAAAAAATTAAAGTCATAATATGCGAAAGATTATAAAACTGTATTGTCGTTGTTATCCCCAAAACATGCCGTTTGCATCCAAACAGGCCCAGCGTAAGCACAACAACAACCCAAACGCATCACCCGTGGAGCGTCGCAGCCTGATGCCGGCCGAGCAAAACCTGCAGAACGAGCGGGCCAGGACAGGTCGCCACCGGTTGTCGTCAGGGTCCCAGCACAGCTGCGACCAGTCGCATCTGGTGGAGGAGGACCCCTACCTCCATGAACCCTACCAGGACACTTATCAGCCTCACCGCAGGCCCTGAAAACATCTTCAGGAAACAAATGGTAGACTGTGTCATGATCGTAATGATGATATGTTGTTCTAGAGATACGATTTTATTTTGTTAGCAATGAAACACAACATGTGTTCTTTTTCTTTCTTTTTAATCAATAAGCACATCAAGGTGATATCGTTGGAGTATTTTTACATGGAACTACACATATTATACTCAGTTGGCCTCGTACTAAGTTGTAGACATTTAATATTCATGTACCTTGACTTAAATCACTTGTATGTCAAATCAGCTTTCCCCATTGAAAGAAATGGAAATGTTTATAATCTGTTCTAGCTCCCCAAAAATATATCTATAACAGTGTATTTTAATAGAAAAAAATAGAAGTCAAAAGTATTGTACTTTCTAAAAACATGCAGTAATAGCAAAATTAAATAGAATGTAAAGAACGAAGCAGTTTGTACATCATGATTTCATGCTTTCATTTAATGGACATTGTGTGGCTCCTTCTGTTGTGTACGCCTTAGCCACCGGAAGGCAGTATACTACGGACATATGACAGTGGACTCTTGCTATTTGTGGGGTATCGTGACCAGCCGACTGGTGAATAACAAAAACGTGGTGTGGTGGCGAATGCTATGTTAGATATATTTTGTTTAGTTTTATAGTTGTTATTTACATTTGTATGCCCAGAAATGATTGACAAGTCATCACCCGCGAACAATGCAGTGGACTGGTGCCACTGCGCATGCGCATTGACTGCCATCGAGGCAGCCGCTCTCCTCTCAGCTGACATTTGCGCTAGTAAGATAGCCGCCGCGCTAGCAACGCCACGCAACGCCGCTCCCTTTCCAGCAAATTCCTCCACTTTCCCTCTTAATTTCCCCCTTGACGTGACTGGCACAGGTGCGGGGCTGCTTCTCTGCATCCTGTATGGCGTTAAATCGGCCATGGCGCTTGCGTTCAAACGCGTTGATAACCCTGTCGCGCTAATTAGCATCTAGGCTGGCTTGCTAGCTCGTTAGGGAAATTCCGAGTTTGGCGAGGCGGTTCAGCTTTACCAACCATGGGAATACTTTTCACCAAGTTATGGAGGCTTTTTAACCACCAAGGTAAGAAGCATTACGGCGTTTAAAGACCAGGCGAGAGCAAAACGACGTGATGCTAACAGGCCTGAGCTAACACACACACACACACACACACACACACACACACACACACACACACACACACACACACACACACACACACACACACACACACACTTATGGAATGCAATCGAGAATGGACACTTCATTAGGTACACCGTCTATTGGGGGACAATGTAACTGAAGGCACAATTTTCCTATTGGATGCCATTGGTGGGTGTACCTAATGAAGTGTCTGCCCGCAGGTTATTTATTATAATTTGGCTGACTTGGAGGAATGTTGACTCATTAACGAGATCGTTCGTAAAAGCTGAATGATTATCATTCGTTACCAAATGTTTAATTTTATTCGGATTTAATTTTTGGAACGAAAAAGTTGGACTACTGAGAATTACATCGAAGTATGAGTATAAGCATGGGAGTCGTTTTTGTAATTCTTTTATTTAATGAGGGGAAAAAACACGTGAAAATATCAAACTGTTCTAAGGAATATTGTCATCATTTTATTTGAGAAAAACGGTTGTAAGTTTGCAAGAGTTACATGAAAAATATTGTGAGGAAAAAGTAGTGATTTTTGTACATTTTTAAAATCATGAGAAGAAAATGCAATGTTGTGAGAATGAAGTCGCTGTATTATCACGCCTGTATTATGATGGAAAAGTTGTCTTTTTTTTTGTGTGTTGATAAATTCTTTTAAGAGAAAAAAAAGTGAAATAGTCTCAGGCTAAAGCCACACAAAATTACGTATTTAAATACTGTCAAAATATACGATGCAGAAAAGATGACTCTGAAGAATCTGAACATGAGTCAGCATTTTTCCGCGAAGTCTGTAATCAGTGTCGTCTCTTGTCTTCCAGAGCACAAAGTCATCATTGTTGGTCTGGACAACGCGGGCAAGACCACCATTCTTTACCAGTTGTGAGTACCTGTATTTTCACCAGTGTGAGTGAATTTTAGCGCTCATGCCTAAGGTGTACGTTTTGTTTTGAAGCAGCCATTTTTAGTATACAAAAAAAAATCAAGTGAAATTTTTGTTTAAAAGCACAGCCATTTCGGGCATCTCATCAGTTTGATATTCTGCGGATTTTACATGAAGATGGGGTGCATGGGCCTGTTTATAGCTGCTTGCAACTTAATTATATGTTTTATTTTATATTTTTGTCATAGTTCCATGAACGAGGTGGTGCATACGTCGCCTACCATTGGTAGCAATGTAGAGGAGATCGTGGTGAAAAACACGCACTTCCTCATGTGGGACATCGGCGGGCAGGAGTCACTGAGGTCCTCGTGGAATACCTATTATACTAACACAGAGGTAACAACTCTTACTTCTTATCGAACTATCTATCTATCCATCTATCTCAGAAGGTGAGCGACCGCCTCCATTCCTTCATGTCGTGAGATATTTAGGCATACAAAATCATCTGAGTTGAAAAAAAACCCAGAGATGACACGCTATTGAGATATAAGTAAACAGTAAGATCTATTTTATGTGACTTTCCCTCCTGGAAATACATTAAGGATGAATTATTTTTTTCTTAATCAAATCACTCACTGCAGAATTTATAAATGTCCACCAGATGATGCTATTTCCCCAATTCAAAGCATGCAGCACATTTTCACACTTTTCTTGTCATGGTGATTCACTACTGAAATGGTAACTGTTTGCTGTTGATAATGGTTTGTATGTAAAGAGGGTTAAAATACCAGAAACTCATTTGGCCACCATTATTTTTCCCCGATTCAAAGCCTGCAGCAATCTTTCACATCTTTCCACTCTCTATCCATCCCAAACATTAGAATTTTTGACGTGCATCTTTGAGGACTTACTCAAGGGCTAATGTTTGTGTTGTAGTTTGTGATCGTGGTGGTCGACAGCACTGATCGGGAAAGAATCTCGGTGACCAAAGAGGAGCTCTACAGGATGCTGGCGCATGAAGTAGGAGACGCCACACACAGGCATGCATGTTATAATATGTATCAAGATTAATAATCGCATGTGTGGTGTAGGACCTGAGGAAGGCGGGACTCCTGGTGTTTGCCAACAAGCAGGATGTGAAGGGCTGCATGTCGGTGGCCGATATCTCGCACAGCCTGCAGCTCACAGCGGTCAAAGACCACCAATGGCACATCCAGGCTTGCTGTGCCCTCACCGGAGAAGGGTGACTCACATGCTAACACGCTTAATGCAAAATGACAACATGCGAACAAGCCACATGTGATTCAAGTCAAGCGTCTTTGCACTGAAGGATAAGACCACTTAAAAGACATTTCCGACACAAAATGGCCAGTTTCACTTAGCAACATGGAATTTGGTAGACGTGTCTGCCATGAGTTGACCCACAAAAAAGTCAAGACACAGGAACCCTGGCATTTGCATCTGACGTTGCCTTTACCAGTGGTCCTTAAGAATCATTTGAAAAATCTTACGCCAGGTTCACTGAGCAACAGGAGATTTGGTTGACGCGGCTATGATGATGAGACCCACAAAAAAGTCTCCAGAAGCCAAGACCAAAAAGTCTGCGAAAGATGTCCATTTTGCTTTAAATTTGCCTTTTGAAATTTATTTTTCTATTTTGGGGGAAACATTAAATTTGGGGAATTTGTTCAAATTCAGCCCGAAAGCCTTTTTATTTATTTATTTTTGGCAGAGGGAAATTTGATCAACACGACTGCCAAACTCCAAAAAGATAGGAAATCCGCTATTTTTAATGCGAAACGTCCATTATCTGCTTAGTTTGTCCACTTTCAGGCCACCTAATCTTAAAATAAATCAAATTAAAGTCTCATCTTTCTTTTATTGTTTTCTCCTCCAGTTTGTGTCAAGGTCTTGAGTGGATGATGTCACGGTTACGAGTCAGATGATGGCCTCTGAACGTTCATCTGGCCTCGCTCCAGGACTTGGATCGTGATGAGGTGGTGGCTTGGCCTGAGCCTTTTTCCCCACCAAGCTATTTTGAGGACCTTCTTTTTGTCTTGTGTGATAATTTATTGGATCGAGGACTTTATTTAAAGTGCACGCTTTTTCCTTTCAACAAGATGGAGGTCCTCTTCTGCAGCCCCTGCGGCCTTGACATAGTATTCCCGGACCAGCGACGTTGCGTCCAGTCCAGTATTGTTTTAACACGGTGCCTGTAGCAACATGGACGCTTGGTGTGATGATGAATGAGGTGGATGGGAGTGGGACTGGTGATGGTGGGGGGTAATCACATGACGCGCCCCCCGAAGATAAAACCAGTCAATTAAATGTTTTTATCTGTTCATCTCAAGTGCGTCCTCTGAGTTTTCTTTCACAGAGTTGTCACCACAACATACGTTTTACACATTTTCCAGTGTCTGCCTTTGATTACCAACGTGACAACATTTTTAAATCCGATGATGGGCTATGCAGAAATTGATTTTTTTGTGTCAGAGGGGTGGGAGGTGTGTGTGAAATGGTTTTGTGTCACGTCTATAAAAAATGTGGTCCAAAGTTAGAGTAAAACAGTATAACCATTTCCCAACATATCTCCTCGAGTCTTTTGTTGGGCTGCTACTTTCTCATCCCATCTTTTTTAGAAAATTCCACAAAGATGGTGGCCTCTGGTCTCGTTGCAACTTGGTGTGCAAGGCAGGCAAACGGTAAGTAAAGTTAAAGTCATGTAAAATTTGCACTCTGTATGTGGGATTAACGTTTTGATTTTAAAATGTTGCAGAAGCGGACCAGACAAAGTCTAGATCATCTGTGCCCAAAAAGACACAGAAAGGTCAGCCATTTTAAAGTCGATTTTGGTCCTCCAGATATTTTTGAAAATTCCACCCGCGAAACCAGTCCCATTAAGCAATATGAAATGTAGCAGGCAGGCTGTCATGAGTAGACCCACAAAAAAATCCGAGAGCCATGCACAAAAACACACAGTTTGAAGCGCCCATTTCAGGGTCTTTTTGGTCATTTCCATGGGTCCTTTGAATCTTTTGAAAAGTCAGCCACTGAAGGCTGTTTTAGCAATATATTTGGTAAGCATGTCTTAACTTGAGTACCCACAAAAAAATATCAAGACGTCACGCCTGAAAAAACTCAGTCTGCCATTTCTAGGGGTGCTTCAATTTTATTTATTTTTTTACTTAAGCCTCCAAAGCCTGTTTCACCGAGCAATATGATGGTTTGCAGGCATTTCTATCAGGTGTTGACCCACAAAATAAAAAAATCTCAAGAAGCCATGCTAGAAAAGACGAAGAAAATCTGCCATTTTGGTTTCAAATATCAATTTTCAGGCCAAATTGGCCCAATTCCAGGGGTCCAAAGAATTGCTTAGAAATGTAGCCACCAAAGCTGATTTTACAATGCAACGATAAATCGAGATAACATACACTAGACAGATAAGTAGCATTAAGCTGTCGTGTTCACCGAACATGACAGCAGTTTGATGACTTGGCATATAACGCAAAAGTCAACTACACGAGGTCAGCCAGGCCAGAAAATCAAATGCTCCCCCTACAGGCAGACACGTATAGCTGCAACAACTCTGCTACTGCCGGGATTGTTCCTTTTGGTCCAAGCGTCGCTGTAAAGGTCACTTTGAAGGTGCCAGCTCCCGCAGGCTGAGCCGTCTGTCACAATTCGTTTATCACACCCCAGGCAAGACGTCAGCCTCTCCTCCAGGAGGATGAGCGTGTTGCTATGGAAACTGTTAGCCCAAACAGCAGTGACCCATCCCACCTGTCGTCGCCCTACTAATCCGTTTCATTTTGGGCTTCTGACATCACCTGCAAAAAAAAACCAAAACATGAACAGTCATCTCTGTTTTTGTTTTTGTCCTCTCATCAGCTGCGGTGTTTACCACTCGTGTTTTTTCAGCTTGTGAATTTTGGCGGAAAATCCAGTCCGGGAAGACAGTTTCACTTGACAATGTGACATTTGTTCGCCTTGTCTCTCTTGAGTAGACCCACAAAAAAAGTCTCAAGAAGCCATTCTTGAAAAGAGATGCGAAGTCGGCCACGTTGGATTTGAAGCAGACCTTTTGGGGTCATTTTCCAGGAGTCCTTTATAGAAAGTTCATCCCACAAAGCCAGTTTTACTTCGCAACCTGAAATTCAGTAGGTACGTCTATCATGAGCAGACTACAAAAAAGTCTCGAGCAACTCTGCCTGAAAGTCACAGGAGGTTTGTGGTCATGATTTGAAGGGCAGACTATTTCCAGGTGTCCTTCAAAGCTCACTCGAGCTACTGCAATTGCTTCGTATTGAATTCATTTATCAGAACCTATAATGTCACTTTTAATCCTGATGCGATACAAATTGTTTATTTGAGTTCAAAGCAAATACAAGTACAAAATATATTTTCAGTCAGTTCAGTCTCATTAGATCAGTTGAATGTGTTTCTGCAAGATCCGGTTATGTTTATTCCAGAAAAGGACATTTCACGTGGCAAATATTTTATCTCAGGATTCATTCAAAATGGCATCTGACACTGCTTGAACCTTCTTGAGCTCTTCTCCACCATCTCCATCCTGAGATCTTGACAAACCCCACAAAAATCCTCAAGGCAATTGTCGTTTTTTCCTGTCGTGCACCCATTTTGATATAAACTTTTTGGGGGGTGAAAATGTGCTGTATGAAGTTTAATCCAGATCCGATCCAGTTTTTGCATATAGCAGCAATGTAAACGCAACATGTACAATCCTATTCGATGTCAAGTTTCATCCAGATATGACCGCATTTCCAATTTTTATTCCATGCACAAGTGACAAAACAGAAAACGATCCTGTCCGTTTTGATGTTGAACATGAAACAAATAAATCCTATCTTACTAAGTTTCTGCAAACTGTGTAAGGCAAAGGTGGATTCTTTGGAGTCAAATTTAATCCAGATCAGATCTAGATTCCACAACCTGTCAGACGTGTCCATCTCATCAGAATGTGTCATGTAAGATCTTATTACGGTTTTCTTTTTCAGCAAGTGAACACTGACTCCATTTGATATGTTATGATGATGACGGTTTCATCTGTTATGTTATTCACACGTTGATTTCACACGTGATAAATGTTTAATGAGGCCTCGGTGGAGTCTGTTATTTTATCCTGTGACGTAATTTGGATCTTGGCGTCCGTCTGACCTCATTTCAGACCTGATCCAGTGGGGTGGCTTCCACGGATTCTCTAACTGGACGTGCACCAACCTGTGACTTTCTCTACCACCTCCTGAGACCTTCTAACAACAGCCCCACCCCCAAACTTCTAAAAGCATTTTATCAACAACCCAATCAGTGTACTTTTTTGCTCTGCTGATGCATTCGGCCTCCCAACAGCTGCTCTTCCCCAAAGGGGATCTCTTTTGGTATATTTAGCGTTTGAAACCCGAGCGCCCCCGCTTTGCGATTGGCCGCAAGCACCACATGACCACCTGGGTAGAAGTAGCCTCAGCTGTGACTCTGTCACCCAGCGTTTCTCTGGAGGGAAGCTTGGGGGGAGGCTTTGGCGGCTTTTGGGAGACCATTAAAACGCTAACTGGTAAGCGAGCAAAAAAAAAAAAAAAAAACTGGAGAAAAGCTTGGGGTTTCTCTTTCTGGTCTGCATGGCTTTTTTTTGCATCCCTCATTAGACTAATCCAGTGGGACCACCTGGAACTGAGCCTGATCCAGAACTGAACCTGATGGTGGTTTTGGATGGTGGCATTTGGTGGCCAGGACTAGCAGTTTATCTTCTGGTTTTCATTCAACTTCCCCCAATTTTAATTGAAAAAAAAGTTGGTTTGTCGTGCTAAAAAAAAGTGAGTCCTATATTTAAACCTTAGCCTCAGAAGGGATGGCATCACGGTTCGCCCGAGCCGGCCGCCCAATCGGGCTGCGGCGTTGGTTTACATGTCAAATAGCTGAGGCTGCAGCTGTCACCTCTCGTCAAATGGGGGAGGAGTTCGATTTGTGGTGGTAGTTCAGGATACATACCTTCACTCACGCTCACACTTTTTTTGTGGTTTTAGGGCAAACAAAAGTGTGATTAAAGGACTCCGGTCCCTAGTGGATGGCCGGGGACTTGCGGACTCAAGAAGACACTGCAGGAATCTTTCTCTGGTACCTTTCTGGCCCTTGAAATATCACCCCCAGTGTCCAAGTCAAAGTCCTGAAAGATCTTCTTTGCGTAGAGCCTCTGAAGGGGTCTCAAGATGTCGCATCGTATCGTGGAGTATGTGGAGGAATGGGAGGAGGAATACGAGGTGGAAGGGGAAGAAGTAGAAGAGGAGGAAGAAGTGGTGGAGGAGGAGGAAGAAGAAGAAGAAGAGGAGGAAGAGGAAGTTTTGGATGAGGTAAGTGAAAAAAAACGCACAAAATTGTTTCGGTTTCAGTTCAAAGGCCCGTCTCGCTGCATGAGTCCTATGAATAGTGACTTTGGGGCAGCAGGATTCCGTTTCGGTGAGATGAGGCGAACTGGCTCAAATTCAAAAGACTGTTAAAGTTAGCGTGCTGTATCATTGGTGTGGTATGGCAGCATCATTTGGAACTTCGAAAATCGTTCTTGTTATTTCGATGTTTTCACGCTATCACTTGGCTAGTTTGTTGCCTATTCTGGTCTCGTAATCTGGTTTAGTGTCGACTATCAACAATGAAGAGTGATACGTGTGATATAAACCTCACGTAGTACCAGGACTAACCCGTGAGAGACAGAACAGTTCAACAGGACATCCGAAACGCAGACTGAAAAAAGCTCAAACATGACTTTGGCCTGAGTCATCGTGAAAAAATTGTCTTGACTTGAAAAAAAATTACGTGTCAACTTCATAAATCCCGCTCGCTACACATTTGATGATTTTTTTTTTGTTGTTGTTCATCTTCATGTCTGTTCACTAACGTTGAGAATCGAGCAAAGTTTAAAACTGACCTAGTTCCTAGACGGACTTGTTAGTCGCAAACATATCACATGTGATTTTAATGCATACGACCGTCGCCCCGACGTTTTGACGAGCAAATTGTCGAAAGGGGGAAAAAAGGAGGTAGCAATTAGCTGTTTGTTATGCTAACGTATTTTAGCAATTAGCAATCATTTCATGCCTCGTGACATTTTGAAAACATCTTGAGCATGTTTTTAATTCTTAAGATTCTTGACCAAAACTTTTTTACGAGCAAATTGCTGAGGAAAAAAAATGGCCTTTTTTTTTTTTTTTTTTTTAAATGGCGACAATTGTCGGCCTGTCGCCATTTTAGTGAAAACATCTTGAGCATGTTTTTAATTCTTAAGATTCTTGACCAAAACTTTTTTATGAGCAAATTGCTGAGGAAAAAAAATGGCGACAATTGTCGGCCTGTCGCCATTTTATAGCAAGATGACAATGTCTTCTTCCTGGTTGGCAATTGTTCTATTTCACGTGACATTTGTTCTTGTCAAAGTATTGAAAAATGTTTCAATGTTGACACTTATTGGCCCGAATGTTTTAAACAAGAAATAAGCACGGTAAAATTCACTTCACAGCTCAGAATTTCGGGAAATCTGTTTTTGTGCTGATTAGACAATCAAACAAGTTGCTTTGTGCATCTCAGGCTATATTTGACTCAACGTCTTTTTTTTTTTTTTTTTAACATGTTGATTTGTAACGATTTTCACCCATTTCCCCTCTGCCTTTTGTCTCATGTCAACACCTTCATGTCATCTTTTGATTTTGTTGTTGTATTCACTGTGACGGTCCTTGAACCCTGACGCGTTCTGGACCATGCGTCACCATCTCAGACTCAGTGTCCAATGGAAGAGTGAAAACAGAAGGGCGATCAATTAGTCCCTTATTTCCTGGCGAAATAGGACTAAAGTCGTCCTGGTATTTGCCTCAGTGACGTCTTATGAGGGAGATCGAACGCCGGCGTCATCCGTCGGTCCGTCTCTCTTGTAACACGTCGTGCGGTCAAGGTTTTAGCATCTTTAGTTGCCAAAAAGATGCTAAACAGTTTGTTTTGGGGTTGGAAGGCGGCTAAAGAGAGAGAGGAAAAAAAACAAAACAATACACTCTGCTTTCACTTGCACTTTCATCTACACTGTGGAGAACAAATGCCTCGTTTGGAATACGAAGAAAGGAGAGAACCATTTGGACGTTTCACACGTGAAACCACAACATTTGGGAAATTCCTAAGCTCGATCTCATGTTCCAATTTCATTTAAATACATTTAATGTAAATAAAGAACTAAAAAGACTCTTGGAACGGAGTTTGGCCTGCAATAGTGGCAAATTTGGTTGTGGACATTTGGTTTTCAGCCACCTGTAAAGATTGTGGACGTTGAGTGCCGCCATTATTTTTGTTGAGGGTCTTTTTTTTTTTTTTTTTTTTTTTAACCGTTATTTCAATTCAACTCTTTTTACCTAAATTTTTTTTAGCTCTTGTCAAGTCGTGTTTGTCTTTTTATTTATTTTTTATATTAATTCATTTCTATCATTAAATAAGTGGTTATTTGATTTATCGTCAACAATAGAATAACAACGGTATGTGTCAGTTTTAGTGTGGAACTGCCATGATTCTCTCCTGTCTATGAAATTCACATAACGAGCTCTGATACAAATATTGTTGTAAAATGATGGCGATGGTGCTGCAGATGTCTTTTCTCTCAGCTCTGGTGTGGGAAGGAATCATCGGTAGAATTTGATATTCTGACATTTTTATGTTTCATCATGGCCATCCGTGCTCTGACGGCAGCTGGGCCGGTGTTACAGAGACGTTGCTCGATTTTTCGCCGGTGGCTTTTTTGAGGAGGGGGTCTGAAAATGGCTAAATATAGTTGGCAATACTGGATGACAGACAGATTGGAAATTACAATCCAAAATAGAATGGATGTCACCCGAGCACCTGCTTTTTATTTAGAAGAGTTTACAACCAATCTCGATTTTTCCTAGAAGAACACACACTCAAACTGTTTTTTTTTCCCCTCAGGTGAGACAACAATTCAGATTTTTTCCTTTTAGAATGAGACTCAATCAGACCTAATTTTTCATAGTAGAGAGCAATCCAATTTTTTTTTTGTTCAGAGAACTCACAATCAGACGTGATGTTTCTTATGAAAGAGAAATCCAGATTTTTTTTTTCATTTTAGGTCACAACCGATGATTACCTCGAAGAGTTGACAAGAAATCTAGATTATTATTTTTTTAATTCAAAGAAGAGGTCACAGTTCTGTTTTATTTCCCTCATAAGTCATCACAAGCCTTTTTTCTTTCTCAAAAGTGTTAAATAAAACAAAACCTTATTTCTTTTCTGATAAAATCCTTTGGAAGCTTGTGATTCCTTTTGCTCTTAACTAATCGTGACATTTCGATGGCCACATTTGAATTAGCACGATAGCAATTTAGTACTAGCGCCTTCTGGACACCAGAACTGAGTATGAATCGGCCTGTACGCCGTCACACGCAAAGCACCAGCGTGTTTCTTCTTCCATGTCGTGCAAGGCCAGAGTGTGTTGTATGATTTGTGTGATGTGTTGAGCAGATGCCAACGACGACACACGTCACTCATGAGCACCACACTCATCATCATCATCATCAACATCAACATCATCAACCTCATGAACCTCATCACCGCGAGCATCAGGTAAATTACAGCAAAATGGCACGACCTACCAGCCCGCCGCGCTTTGTCTTGCGCAAGCCCCGTTTCAACGTTTCCCGGCTAGCTTGCTCGCTAGCTACCTTGTGCTGCTCGACGTCAGTTGACAACTGGCGGTGTTGATGAAGACTCATTTGTGAAATGAATATAGAATACTGTATATATTGGCCGCAGAGGTTTTCAATTGTGAGATCAAGCCATTTTTTTACGTTATCGTCATTTTACTACGACTTTGGTTCACAAATAGATACACCGTTTGTCTTTCCGAAAATGTTATTTGTGGAAAAAAATGGACTCAATTCTCAGATACAATAGTTGCAACCTTATTTTTGTAAGGTTACTTTTTTTTTCATGATACAACTTTTTTCGTGTAATATTCTAAAACGTGTTTCAAAAATGCATATCCTCTCAAATATACTACGACTTTGGTTCACAAATAGATACACCGTTTCTCTTTCCGAAAAATGGTATTTATGTTAATGTAAAAAAAAAAATGGATTCAATTCTCATATAGTTGCAAGTTTATTCTTGTGAGGTTACTTTTTTTTTTTTAATGATACAACTTTTTTCATGCAATATTCTGAAACGTGTTTCAAAAATGCATATCCTCTCAAATCTTATTTATAATTGGTTTTCTTTTTGTATTGTACATTTGTACGTTATTATTAATTAATTCATTTTTTAAATGTCATTTAAACGATACAACCTGACTCCGATCACGTTCTGTCAAAAATGTTCTTGACAATATGTTGTATGTGCCTCCTTGAACCTAAAATTGGCATTTTGTACGTTATTATTAATTAATTCATTTTTTAAATCTCAAACGATACAACCTGACTCCGATCACATCCTGTCAAAAATGTTCTTTACAATATGTTGTATGTGCCTCCTTGAAACTAAAATTGGCATTCTGATTAATATTACGTTTGTGGAATAGGAATCAAGCAGCAAAATCCATCAGTTTTCATTAATCTCAGGAGGCGGCCATTTTGCCACTTTCTGCTGACTGAAAATGACATCACAGTCCCATCACGGCTCACCTGTTGTCTGAGTTTGTTTATATGATGTTTGCAAGCTGAGCCGTGATTGGTTGTTACCTGAGTCCCGAGCCAAAATGGCCGACCTGTGTGAAGAGTAAAAACGGGCGAATTTAGCTGCTTAATTCATATTCCACACACGCAATATTAATCTGAATCCCGTGTTACGTCTATTGGGTGTCGCATAGAACATACTATTGGAAAGAAATGTTTTGACTTGACTTCCCCTTTAAAATAACAACTTATTTTCCTTGAAATAATGACATTTGTATTGAAAAAAAAAATCAATTGAATGCTTTCCCCTCAAAAAAATCTCAGCGCAAATCCGAATGTGCCTTCCTGCATGTTTATTTTGAGTGACAGCAAAGCGCGCGAGCGACGTGCGTTTGCGTTTGTGACTTGCATGTTGCCTTCCGCCAGTCGGGCTTGCCCACCAGGAAAGTGGTGAAAAAGGTGAAAGTGGACACGTCCAAGTTCATGACCCCGTATCTGGAACACAGCCAGAAGATGTTGGACCAGTTCAGCTATGTGAGTCGCCACTTGCCGCTCTCCTTCTTTCCACTCGCAACACTTTCTTTGCGCCCTCATCGCTTGTCTTTTGCTCCGCCATGCAGAACAAATATCGGCAGGCCTACGACAAGTCCAGAGGGAAACCTCCCTCCATCACCACGGATACGCCCGAGATGATTCGCATCCGCAAGGCTCAGGAGCAACTCAGTGAGGTATGTCGACGAGTGGCCGCACAGGGACCATACGGTTCTTCTTGACCTCCTTATTGCTGCTGTTGTTGCCTTTGTTGTTGCTGTAGTTGTTTTTTTTTTTATTTTTTTGCTGTAGTTTTTGCTGCTGCTCTTGTTGCTGCTGTTGCTGTACTTTGTAGTGGTTGCCCCAATTGTCATTGTTGCAATCTTTGTTGGAGCTGTTGTTATCACTGTTGTTGCTCTAATTTCTGTTATTTTTGTTGCTGCTGTCCTTGTCGTTGCTGGCGGTGTTGGTGTTATTTCTGTCATTGTTGTCGCTATTGTTAGTGTTTCTGGAATTGCTGCTGTTGCTTTTGATGTTGCTACTGGTGTTGTTGTTGGTGTCATTAGTCGCACTCTTGCTGGTGTTGTTTTCATTGCTCTCGTCAACTCCATTCTTGTCATTTTTTTTAATGTTGAATGCAGAAATAAATTGAGACAAAGGTTAGCTTTCAGATCAAAATTTAAATCGTTTTGTTCCGATTTTGAAATGCAAAGGGCAGCCCATTTTTGCACCGTTTTTGTCAGTTTAAGTGCTGCTGCATCCGCATATTAGGATAAGTACAATTCTATTTGTCTAAATCCCTCTCCTGGTAAAGAACAAAATGTGGTTAGCCCATTCTGGCGGTCCGATTAATTTATGGCCAAGTGGACGGTTGACTTGCAGCATTGCATCCACAGATCAAATACCGTATGGAGGGCAACAAGTCCAAGACAGGCAGCTTGTACGACGGCGAGGCACAGGAGATTGCCCATGTCAAGCACGTGTCGGACCTCATCAGCAAGGTGGGTCCGCTGAGCGCAAGTCACAGAAAGCTCCACAGAAACTGCCAATAACCCAAACATTCGCCCGCGTAGGTCCTCTACCGGCAGAAGTGGGATGAGATCAAGGACAAGTACCATCTGCCTCCAGATGCCCCAGAACTGGTTTTGGCTGTGAAGAATGCCGCCAACTACAGCAAAGTGAGACTTTATTTTTTGTTGTTGCTTTTACCATAACTATGAAAAAGGACGCATTATATTTGAATCATAAATATGTATTTTCGTGACGTGCATGTGGATTGTGGCGGTGTAGAAAATGTACACTGAGGACTGGGACGAGGAGAAGACCATGTTCTGCCCGTACACCGACAGCCTCGAACTGCGTCGGGTGGCCAAGGCTCAGGAGGCGCTCAGTGACGTAAGTCCGTCGCCACCAAATATTTTGCTCATAATGGGGTTGTTTTGCTGACGTTCTGATGGCGCCGACTTCAGATCCAGTACAAGAAAGGGCACGAGGAGCGCATGGCCGAGTTCACCAGCCTGGCCGACCCCCCCGAGGTGGAGCTGGCCAGGATAGCCTCGGACCAGCGCAGCGATGTAAGCGCATCATTTTTTGTCTTCCATTTTCAAATTTTCTAATTCTGTCTTTTTTTTTTTTGTAATCATAAACTGTAACAAAATACATCTACAACATTTATCTATGTATCATTTTTTTGTTTACAACAAAAGAACAAACAATACTCATTAATATGATCACAAAACCTTGAGATGAGAAAATTGGAAACATTTAGCTCAGAATTTTTTTTTTTAACATTGAAATGTTTTGATTTTAATTATGGATCGCCAAATGTCTCGAGTTGTATGACATCTAATCCCCCAAAATACAAATTACAACAAAAAAAAAAATCTGACAAACTCAGAAGCATGTACAGTATTGTGTTACTTAATCTTTTCCACATTAAAAAAAAACAAATTCACTTGCTTTGTGTTTTTCACAAGAAAGCATTTTATTTAAAAAATGTTTTGAAAATCAACCTTTCAAGTTTTTTTTTTCTTTTCTACTCCCCAAACACCCTAAAAAAGAAACAAGTCATCTTTGAAGATACATGGTTTAATGTCGCTTTTGAACTTACTCCCCCCAGCTCAAGTACAAGGAGGCGTACAACGAAGACGTGAAGGGTCAATGGTGCGAGACGCCCTACTTTGACGTGGCCATGGCCAGGGTAGCCATGGACAACCTCAGCAATGTAAGACACACAGACACACACAATTCTCAGACGACTGTTTGGCCTTCCTTCCTCTCTAACCTACAGCATTAATAAATATTGTTATTATTATTATTATTATTATTATTATTATTATTGTTGTTATTATTGATGTTAAATAAATACATTTAAACTCACCCCCCAAAAAATGGACAGTTTCGCTGGAATTAGTTTTAGTTGGATGCAATTGCAGTTAGCCTTCATTTTTTTTCAAAAGAATTTTCATTTTTTATTTTATTTTGTTCACGAAAATGCTCTTTCAATTTTAATTGTAGTTATTTCGGTACTTTCCGTGAGTTTCACTAACTTTGGGACGGCCGGATGTACGGCAGACGCTAGCACGAACCTTTGCTTCTTTCCCTTGCAGAGGAAATACACGCAAAAGCACGAGGACTCCAAAGACCAAATCTACTTCATGCAAACCGACACGCCCGTCTACGACACCCACAAGAAGGCGGGCGCCTCTGCCAGCGACGTGAGTCACCACCCGCGATCGAAAAATGGATGGATGACTTAGTTCAGTGGAAAAAAAAAAACCCTGCTGCAACAATGACATGAGCGTGTTCATGTTTGCGTGTCCAGGTCAAGTACAAGAAGGAGTACGAGGAGACGAAGGCCCAGTCCGACTACAACACGCTGCCGGCCACCGAGAACCCGCGACTCAGGCAGCTCCGATACGCCGGCACCATCCTCAGTGACGTACGTGTTGCACGACCACACTCAAAGGGAGAGTCCCATCTCAAGAAGCAACATAGTTGAGCTTTTGGTTTGTTTTTTTTTTGGGCGATCTTTGCAGAAAGTGTACAAGGACAACTACGAGAAGTCCCGAGGGTTCAGCATCAACTATTGCGATACGCCCAAGTTCCAAATGGACTCGGTTCTCAAACAGTTTACGGATGTAAGAATGGCAAAATGCTTTCTTTCTTTCACTTTTTTTTTAACAGCTTCACAATTCCATTCTTGTTGAATGGCAACTTTTTGCGGAGTCAAATGATGTCTTTTTAAAAGGTTTCGAGGATCCACAACTGCTCTTTAATAAATCGTCACCTTGTCTTTCTGCAGAGACGCTACAAAGAGAAGTACGACAACGAAATAAAAGGTCACTACCTGGGCAGCTACGAGGATGTTTACATGCTCCACTGCCAACAAGTGGAGGAGCTGAAGAACGAGGTTCGATTCGTTGGGGTTATTCCCCTTGCCAACCACCCATTGACTCCTTCCCAAAAATCTCACCTCTCAATTTTGCATTCTTGTGTTTTCGCAGAGACTGTACAAAGCCGACTATGAAGACATGAAAACGCAGTGTTTCTTCCCTCAAACCATCACGGCCGAGTACGAAGCCATCAGGAAGCTGGAGGATTGCAAGGATGTGAGGAGGGACATGGACTCAGGATTTCGGCCCTCTTCCGTACTCTTCCGGTGGATTTCTTATGCTACCTTTTCTTTGCTTTGCAGAAAGTTTACCGGCAGCATCCGGACAAAGTGAAATTCACACAAGTGACCGACTCGCCGGTTTTAGTCCAGGCGGCCATCAACGCCTACCAGCTGAGTGACGTACGTATGACACGCCCCGAGTACGGATTCTCAACCTTGCCCTTTCCTCTAGCCACGTAGCAGAACTGGAGAGTCACATCCTCCATGACTTTTCAAAATGCAGGAGGCCCACCTGTCCACTTGTGGCCATGGAAACCCGAAAGCCGTCTGGCTATGGAGTAAATTTAGCAAACTCAGAATAGAGGCAGTGAGCTAGCACAGTCCTGCTCTCCTGCAGGAGTAAAAATAAGTGACCGGAGTGAGACCACCAAAAATATACAAGAGGATCATGATGGAAAAATGGTTTTTAAAGCTGTTCATTCAAAACTTTACAAAGTCAAAAACAGTTGAATTTAGGTAAACCCAAGTAATCTCTTCCTCTTTTAGGCTTTAAAGCCCCTAGAAAGGGGTCATGGTCGAGGCCCTTTTACTTTTTAATCCCTCAGTGAAACGTAACCCTCCCCAAAACCATATTCATCTCAAAGTTTTGAACTTAATCAGTGCCGATTGAGAGAGTACTTTGCTCAAGAGTTTGGCCATCCTCACAGCTCAACTACAAGGCGCACTACGAAGAGACCAAGCACAAGAACAGCCTGCCTCCGGACGACCCCTTCTTCGTCCAATCCCGAGTGAACGCCTTCAACCTGAGCGACGTAAGCTACCGCCTCGAGACGTACCGTGAATATACACGTGACAGGACCATACACTGAATTCTGCCGTCTCCTTGACAGAACTGCTACAAATATGACTGGGAGAGAACCAAGGCCAAGAGGTTTGAGATTAAGGAGGACGCGATCCCCATCTTGGCCGCCCGGGCTCACACAAACATCGCCAGCGACGTATGCGTGCCCTTGGCAAATCTTCAAAGTGTGAGAATTGAATCACAGGATTTCCCCCTCCCCCCCTGTTTCTTGTAGGTGAAATACAAGAAGGAGTACGAGAAGAACAAGGGTCAGATGGTCGGAGCTCTCAGCATTAATGATGATCCCAAGATCCTGCACTCTGTCCACGTGGCCAAAATCCAGAGTGATGTAAACAAACTTTTTGTTTCATCATTTCTGTTTCTCAAACCCGTCGGGTGCCGTGACTCTTCACAGGCTACGGCTGCCCGGACTCCAGTTTGAGAACCACTGCTGTCAGGAACTGTGTTGTTTACTTGAGTTCTTCTCCCGCAGCGAGAATACAAAAAGGACTACGAAAAGATCAAGACCAAGTATCACACGCCTCTGGACATGATGTCCGTCACCCAGGCTAAGAAGTCGCAGGCCGTCAGCACCATGGCCGGGTACCGCAGCATCAACCCCAACTTCTTCCTGCCCCATGACGCCGTGCTGCTGGACCTGGCCAAGAAGGCCAACATCATCCAGAGCGACGTGAGTCGGCACACTAATTAGGAACGGCAGTAGAGTAACCAAAGCGACCAAAAAATGATGAGTTCATGAAGGACAAACCAACGTGTAGTCAGATCCGAACCAAACTCGATGACGAAAAGTCTGCCTTTTGTTATTATCCTGCTGGATCTTTTTCTTTGGAGAGTCCGCCGCCGACCTAGCTTATTCCTGACTTTTATCCTGTCTTGGTCAATGCCCTCGGAAGTGCTGACACAGCCTCAACAATGTCTGGTACTTTTCCTATGTGTGATTCCACGCTTCAGAATGAGTACAAGTCTGACTACAACAACTACACCAAAGGGACCCCATGGGTGCCATTTGGCTCTTTGGACGTGGAAAAGGCCAAGTATGCCGGGGAAATTCTTAACGAGGTTTGTACAACAAGCAGCAACTATCCAGAGAAACTGCCACATGAAAAGTTTTACACAACACTTTTTTTTGTTGTTTTTTTTTTGTGCAGAAAAAATACAGACAGCACCCTGACACCATCCCCTTCACGTCCATCGACAACCACCCCGTCATGATGCAGGCCAAAGTTAACCAGCTCCAGAGGAGTGATGTGAGTTACGATAAGCGCTTTTCTCTCTCACTTCCAATCAACTCTTTCCTAACCGGTCTTTGTTTTGCACAGCTGTTCTACAAGCAAGGTCTGGAGGACATCCACCAGAAGTACTGCCTGCCAGTTGACATTCCCGAGTTCCTCCAGGCCAAATGCAACGCCTACAACATCAGCAACGTAAGACTAAGACACAATCTCGGCGGAACATTTGTTTTTTGACTCATCCTGTCTGCGGTCCACCATTTCAGAATTATTACAAGTACGCCTGGCAGGACATCATTGCTAAAGGCTACGACTTGCAGCCCGACGCCATCCCCATTGTTGCCGCCAAAGCTGCCAGACACGCTGCCAGTGATGTAAGTTCACAGTGCACACAGACACGAACCACTCGAACGAACTCAGTTGTCTAAACACCAGAAGGAGGAGGAAGTCACGTATGTCATTAGTCTCGAGTCTGAAGCTCCAACTTTCAAGAAATTCCAGTCCCAACTAAATTCAGTCATGTCATTATTTGCTCAGTCGCAACTAATATTTGTTTTAGTGATTGTGATAACACATTCAAAACCAGGGCTGCTTGATACCACTTTTTTCCAGGCCGATACCAGGACGAATATTCACTCTTTCAGTACTGACCAACACCAAGTACTGATACCTTTAAAACTTTTGAGATGTCAAATTTCATTTGAAACAATGCCCCAAAATTTTGGAACAAACACCTTTCTTTTCTGACGCAGATGATGATTCCCCGATTCAAACTACCAAAGTATAGTGCCAACGATAAAACTTTTTTTATTTGGCCTTAAGTATTGGTGGCTGGTATCGACAGCCTAGCCTCCATGAGTACTCGATACCTGAAAATAAAGCCGGTATCGGCCCGACACAGATACTTGGTATTTGTAGTGGCCCATCCCTATTCAAAACACAAAATTTTGTATTGTCTGTCACTTGTATGTCTTGTCAATTAAACGTGTAACGGACAAGAAGCCTAATTAATGTGTGACTTGCTATCGATGAACTAAGCTGTGGAGTTAATGTGGCTTACCTGCCTTTGTGGATTTTGTAGAGATGGTTGAAGCTTGATATTTTAGTGTGTCTCTTATTTTTGACTTGTGAACCTTACATGCTGCCAATCTCTATTTTGTCCTCTTAATTTTTATCAAAAGCGTATTTAAAGTCCTCAAATTGCCGTCTTTTTGAGTTCCCCATCTCTGCTAAGCAAAACACCGCAATCCCGCCTCCAGGTGCAGTACAAGAAAGCGTACGAGAAGGATCGAGGCCACCACGTGGGTTTCCGTAGTCTGCAGGACGACCCCCTGCTGGTCCACTACATGGAGGTGGCCAAGCACCAGAGCGACAAGAACTACAAGAAGGACTACCACAAGGCCAAGCTCAAGTACCACTCGCCGGTGGACATGTTGAGCGTGGCGCACGCCAAGCATGCCTCGGCCGTGCAGACCAACACCGGCTACAAGCAACCCCACCACAAGTACTGCCTCCTACCAGATGCCTTGAACCTGGATTGGGCTCGCACCGTGAACTACAACACCAGTGAGGTAAGTTCTAAAAGTTTCAGGCCATTCAGTTTAAAGTGTCTTGCTAGGTGTGTTTTGGGGGGCCTAAAAAAAAAAAAGCATTTATTTTAAAAGATTTCTAAAAATCTTTGAAAAGTTACTGAATCTGGTGTAAGAAATGTCGCTGAGGTGGTCTGAAAAGTTGCTTACGTGCCTTGAACCTGGATTGGGCTCGCACCGTGAACTACAACACCAGTGAGGTAAGTTCTAAACGTTTCAGGCCATTCAGTTTAAAGTGTCTTGCTAGGTGTGTTTTGGGGGGCCTAAAAAAAAAAAAAATGTCGCAGAGGTGGTCTGAAAAGTTGCTACCCCTCGCAACAAAATTACCCAATTGCTATCAATGATTAGAATGTTAATTAGGTCCTCATTGAGCGTCCCAGAGTCCAGGTACCAAATACTCATCCTACCACTGCTTTTTGGGGATATATAAGCCTAGCTTTTTAGGTAGTGGACCAAAATCCTTTTTTTGGTTTTCTAGCACCAGTACAAACAGGATTACGAGAACTGCATCAAGGGAATCGGTTGGGTTCCGATCGGCTCCCTGGAGGTGGAGCAGGCGAAGGCGGCTGGGGCGGCTTTGGACGAGAAGAAATACAGACAGCACCCGGACACCCTCAAGTTCACCAGCCCACTCGACTCCATGAACATGGAGCTGGTCAAGTCCAACACTCAGATTCTCAATGCGGTGAGCGCCTTCTTCACAAAACTCTTTCTCTGGAGACCTCTTGACACTTTTTGACCCAGTTTCCTGCTTCTGACCGCAGAAAGACTACAAGGCCAGCGGCGAGAAGTTCATGCATACCTATCATCTTCCTGTTGATGCTCCTGAACTGATCCTAGCCAAATACAACGCTGCCAACATCAGCAAGGTTAGCTTCATACGTCACTTCAGCTAAATGCTCACAAACAATGCAACACATGTAGACAGACACTAGCACAGTGCTCACAGGCATTTATTCACCCTATGTGAAGAAAGACTAAAAAAAATACTCCTTACTGGGGAATGATTGTCTCCATGTGTGTCTCTATGCTTTTATGAAGGGTAGAATAGATTTTAAAATTCTGGGAGTAGTTTATGAATAACCAAATGCTTTGGGTCCTGAATACATGAAAGAAATGCTAATTGAATAGAAAACCAGAAGTTTCAAAGCAAACATGGTGAAGCAGCATTTAGCTGTAATGCTGCACGCAAATGGAATAAGGTGTGAAGGCAGCAAAGTCAGCCTCAAGTTTAAATTCTTTTAAATTCAGGTTCAAAACTATGATAACTATCCCCACAAGGTCTTTGATGCATTCAAATCAATTTCATGCCATATTTGATTTCTTTACTTTGCTGGTAAGCATTTTATTTTTAAATGCTTTTAGGTTCTGTGAAGCACATTGAATTGCCTTTTGTATGAAATGCGCTTTATAAATAAAAGTGCCTTCCCTTGACTTTTGTTCTGTCCCTCAGTGGCCAATACCGGCAGGAGTA